GTTAAGGATTTAAAAATCTGTATTTTTACTAATTTTCTGTAGTCTGTTTTGCATTTGGTATTTTAAAGCTTTCCTTTTATCTGCTGGTATACATGTATTCTAGAATGACAAGAGCTGTCATACTCAGTTGTTATGAAGTTAAATTATTAGAGCATAATGGGATAAATGCATATGTAGGATATTCCGAATTGAAATAAACAGTTACTTAAAGACTTTAGGGATTGCATTGCAATGCTGTTAAACAGTGGGTTCTATACTAGGAATGGTTACCATGCTTAAAGTCTGGTGTTCATAACTTCAAGGTTTGTTTGATATCTTTAAAGGAATTTTCATTAAAAAAAAAAAGGCTGGGGAGGGGGGAGAAGAAAAGCTGTTTTCGAGGCTGCTTTTATTACCATTTGAAATGTGTCCCTTTTTTTTTTTTTTCCTTTTTTTTTCCCACCCCTCACCCTTTTAGCTGGATACTAGTTAGCTTTACTGATCTAAAGGATGCTACTGTCAGTGAAGAGACTGTGTGGTGGTAATATTATCCATGTTAATGCGAATTGTTCCTAAAAATATGTTGTACATAATTCTCATACCATGTGAGTTACCATAAAATCTGAGTGATTCAGGAGCACATTAGGAAATTCGATTTACATTTGGGCTATTGTTGAACTGTCTTCTTCTCTTCAATAGATAGGTCTCTGTGTTGAAGTATTTTGCTTTGGCATTAAAAGCTATATGCATATAAGTCTGTTAAAGAAACCAGACCAAACCAGTATGCCTTTCACTTAAGTGAAAGGTGGTTTGTGCTGGCCTTGAATTCAGGAGAAGGGGGCCTCAATCTAATCTGGAGGGTTGTTCTAAGAAGAATCTGGCTTCTGCATAATGAACTTTATCTTCATTGTAGAAAGCTGACAATGTGTGAAGCTGTTGATCTTTCTTCATCTCGAAGCTGTAATTGATTGCCAGATAACAAGAGTCCTTTCAGGGTAATAAGAGAGTCGAAGATAAAGATTGAGTCTTGGAGCTTGATTCCATATTTAGTGGAAAAGAAAAACATGTCTGATCTGTCAAACCTTTATGTTTGGGTTTGCAACGCTGCTCTACAGTCTAGCAGTGTTTGAGATAGAGATCGTAGTACGTGTGTATCCCAAAAGATCCAGTTTTAGGAGGTGAAGACTTGCAGTTGCAACTCTTCTAAATTTTTTCTCCTAAAATGTCAATTTTACTGAGGTATGAGCAAGTATTTGGTTAAATAACCGGATCTTTTGCAAGTATTTGTATATTTGGAGGTGAGGGGCCTTGCGGTACAGGTGTAGTTGTACTTTATTATTTTCTGGTCACCAGTTCTGAAAAATACAAACTACCATGGAGAATCCTCTGATTCCTTACATCTCTCTTTTGCTAAGGTAGAATACAGTATAATTGATTATACCGAATGCCATGAAAAAGCTTACAAATTGCTTCCCTGGATTTATAACTTTAACTTTTGACATAATCCATTGCTTAACAAATTCTCAGAGAAGTTTGGAGTTCAAAAAAGTTCTTGCAAAAAGTGTCCTTTTCAGAGAAAGAAATCTGTATATTTTATATTAGTTTTTAGAGAAGATGTATATGGTTCTGCAAGATAAATTAATATGGAAGATACCACCACTCCCAAAAATACAACAGCTAGGTAGTGTTGGTAACTTTTTTAAAAAAATATAGAAGCAGCATTCCAAAATCTGTCAGTTACAAAAAATAAAGAAAAGTAGTTTTTTAGGGCTCTTCTGTGAGTTTAGGGTAATCTTCCAGGTGTTCTCTTTGGAAGATAGTAGAAGTTTGAATGGCAGTGGTAGCAATGCCAGTCTTTCATTTAGCGTCGTTGTAAATATGCTGTGAGTACTTGTGTAACGTGATTACATGTCCTTTGAGTTAGTGAGTTGGCTCTCAGGAGTAGGAATGAAGTTAGTTCAAGTAAGAAATCTGGGTATATTTTCAAAACTGTAAGTTATGTCAATTTTGTGGCCAGCAAGGTGTTCTGTAAGCAGGAGAATTTATAAGGTCTGGTGTTTAAAGAAATTCTGGTTTTTGTCCCTTACCTGAAGTGCCTTAAAGCTTACGGTACCTTTAAAAGTAGGTAACTTGTGCTGAGAACTGAAGGATTGTACAGAACTGCATGTTCTTGAAAAAACAGCTGTGTGTCTGGGAGTGAATGGTGTATTTTAAATTACAGCACGAATGAGGAAGACAGCTTAATAGATCTTCCTAGGATTTGCTCTGTGTTGAAAGAAGGTTTGAATCCAGCTTTTCCATCTTGTCCTTCAGATCACAAGGATGGCAGAGTGTACATGTTAATTGTGTGTTGCTTTTTGGTTCTGGATATTTAACAACAATAACAAAAACCAAACCAAAACAAAAACCCCAAACACAGCAACAAAAAACCACTCCAGCAGAAATAATGAAGAAAATACAGTGCATTCATTAGCGTGTGTAGGCTCTAAAATCTGAGCAGAAAAAAAATGAAGGATTGTGTTTAATCTGTGCTGTGGACTGCCCCTCTACCTGCTAAATTACCATTCTGACTGGTAAGGTAACCCAGGGGCGCTGATCTATTTAGTGCATTAGTATCTAGATACAGTACGTGAGACCTGCAGTAGCAATTTTACTCTGCAGCACTTCGAATAAGCCTTAGCTATCCACAGTGATTATTGCTTTCCCATATTTCATAAAGTAAACAATATAGGGTATAGTAGTATCTGTTTCTGTAATATATGCATGGTTTGTAATCCCTAGAATTATGTCAGTAGTTTTAAGTAAGCTCTGAACTTTTGTGGGCAGTGACTATCAAGTAGGCTAGTAAATCAAAATATTGCTAGTCCTGCTTCATTAAATGAGTTACTTTGGTAAACTAAAATTGTTTATTTCAGAGTGGCATGCACTTAAACACTTTCACTGTTATGAAGCAAAACAATAATTGTTTAAACTCAGCTGACAAATCTGGTGTGATTAGTTTCGTATGCTCTTTCAGAGTAATACTTTCCCTTTAAGGTACAGATCACATACATACTAGGAAAGATATGCTGTACACATCTGCTTTTTTTTTTTTAAAAAAAAAAGCCTTATTGCACAATGTGTAAATATAAGAAATACTTTTTGTGCATATGAGAAGTGTACAATTTGTTTTTGAAACTCTTGGAAGCAGTACACAAGCACATTTTAGGAAGCAAGAGTTTAAAGAGGATTCCTGATTGTTCTGCACTGTGCATACACGTAGTAAAACAGTCTTTACCCCAGAGAGCTTACAATCTAAAATATGTAGAAATTGGAGGAATTTTTACTAGGCAAGTTCAGAAGTGGCATTACAACTGCTGATAATAAGCCAGCTGCAGTTTCAAACTGGGTAATTCCCCTGCATTGCTGGAAAAGAGACCTCCAGCTCCGTATGTGGCTGCATTTGGGTAAATTCCCCCACCTCCAAAAACAAAACGTGGTATCCTCAACCTGCCACTTGCGGTTTGATTTTTCAAAAGACGCCTCTGCCAACAACACATTTCCCAAATATCTCCTTCCCCACTATTTTTCTCTTGGTGTGCTTTTCTTCCATCAGAGGAGGTCTGAGTACCTGGCTCTGCAGTAAAGGAGCACGGACACCACACTTGCCGTCATCTGCCTTCCCACGGGAACAAGGACAACTTGAGTTAGCCAAATAGCAGTCCAGGAGGGTTAGCTGCATGGCCAGGAGTAGCCAAAATGTGTGGTACAGAAAGTTCTGTCTTGTTCTTGAATGTTAAAGGTTTGTGAGATTCCCGAGAGTCATGCAAGAAAGTGTCTCGTGTCTTAGGTGAGGAAAGCTATGCTGATGCCTCGTTTGTCAGGATGCTTAGCTGATGGGTAGAAGTTAATAGGAGCACTTAAACTTTGCAACTGTAGTTTTCGTGAAAAGGGAATTCCAAAAGCTTTTTTTCATAGTACCATTTGAATATACGTAGTTATTACTTGCAGTCCTTTCTGAACTGCTGTGTTGTCCTGTGGGACTGAAAAGCACAAACTTGATAAGTTGTGTCTTAGTTGGAAAAAAATGAGGCTATATCACTTTATATGGTACTTGAGGGATATGCTATTAAAATAGTGCATGAAGACTTTGGCATTAAATATCTTATTTAAAATAAAGCAACTGAAATGTTTCCAATTGAAGATAAACTGAATGTTCAAGTAGTTGAAAAGATAAAAACAAAGAATGCAGTTTGTGTAAATACGGAAGACTATTTGTCTAGATCATCTTTCAGACTCATTAAACAGCCGTAAGTGATTTAAATACAAATTAGAAAGCTGCACATCATGTTGCAGCCTACTCATGTAGGCTGAGCTCATCAGAAACTCCTTTTGTTCCTCCATTTCCTTCCACCTCACTTTCCCTGCCGATGCCAGCAGCACTGCTTTACCCTGTTGAGCAGGGCTCCGTCGGAGGCACCACCTCTGCAAGGGTCTCGGTTACTCTTGGCGCCTTTCGTATTGCGGATCCCGCTCATTGCTTCTCTGCCTTTCAGACCTCCATATAACCCTGCATTCCCTTGCACGTGTTGGGGACTATGATCTACCTTCTGATTTTCCTTTTTTTCCCTATGATTCTTACTTGTTTGTCTTGGACATTGATACGTTGATAGCCTAAACAATTTAAATAATATGGAAAACAAGGGGATTGCAGATTTGGGAGGTTTTATACTGGAAAGTATTTTGCTCCTGTCAGCTAGTTTTTAATCTAGAAATAATTGCCTGGTTGGCGTATCGCACGCTGCAGACTCCATGTCTCTTACAGGCCTCTAACAGGTTCTAGTTTTCACCAAAAGTGACAAGGCTATTCCGATACACAGAACTTTCCCCAAAATTTCTGGAATTCATTGACTGCATTCGTTATTAGGTAGCAGCTGGTGAATCATTGTGAAGTTGAGGGTGTAAATCCTTTCTTTGCATAGTGGTATGTTTGGCTTGTTTGTAAAATATTCCACTGCAGATATTAGGGAATATAATTAATTTATTTATCTTTTTTAGGAGCAATGGATGAACTTCATAGCCTGGACCCAAGAAGACAAGAATTGTTAGAAGCAAGATTTACAGGAGTAGTAAGTGGCAGCACTGGGAGTACTGGAAGTTGCAGTGTTGGAGCTAAAGTAAGTTCTAAGAGCAGTCATGCAGATCTACCATCTTTGAAATACTAGTTTATTTCACACTGTCTCACTTGTATATTGCCCATGTGATTTAGTTGCAAAAGTACCAGGTTGGAAGAGGCTCTCAGGAAAATCCTTGTTAGTCTGTTATTTTCCTTTGAGATAAGATTGTTTATCCTGAACGTATCAGTGACACATGGACATTGAATTGTTCTTAAAAACGCCAAAGAATGGGCGTATACAGGCTCTTTTGTGGTTTTGCCCTAGTGCACATGTGATCAGAGATGGAAGTTTTTCCCAGTATTTAAGTGGAGTTGTCCCTTTTGCAGATGGCCAACTACTTACAGTTTGGCTTGAAATAGACACAGGGAGTCTGGTGTGACCTCTGTTTTTAAGATTAAATTTGTTTGAAGACTAATATTTCTAGATTAACAAAGCCAAATTCTTTCAACTTTTCCAGACATTTATATCAATTTTACCTACTTTTATTGTAGACTTTCTGCAGTCTGTCTGTTAGTATCTAAACCAGGATGCAATACTTGAGGAAAACACTTAAGAACGTTGAATAGCAGGGTTTAACTGCTTTCCATATGTCATATATTACCCTTCAGTTGATACATCTGCAAAATAAATTTGCCTTAATTACAAATTCTGTTCAAGTTACTAGCTTCAACTCCCAAGACTGATTTCTGCAATACTATTGCCTAGCCAGAGGTACTCCATTCTGTATTTGTGCATTTGAATGTTCTTCACCAAGTGTAGCATTTAATAAACTGATATTAAAAAGATACTATACTAATTTTTAGGCACATTTTCCCCATGGCCAAAGTACTTTTGAATTCTGTTTCCAAAGTGTTCGCAGTGCCCTCATATTTTAAGTATTTTACGCAAACTTGGTTAGTATTTTTCACTTCCTATTCCACATTTTAATTACCACTCTAGATTAAGAACAAAATACTACCTGATAGCAGACATTGATGAAATTTCTGGAGACGTGTGATGTATTGATGACTATTAACAAACTATAAAGAGTTGAAATCAGTGCATAGTGATCTTGCATCATACCTTCTTAATTTGTTTTTGAGAGTGGCACGAAGGTAACTGCCACAAAACTGTAAAAAAGATGATATATCACTGTTGTTAGTACCATCTTAACCAAGAAGTGAGTTAAATGGTCAGGGGAAGGAATCAGGTTGGATTGACACAGTGTGGTTGATGCGCTGTTGTTTTCTCGTTTTATTTAATTGCCTTATAATTATGACTGCAAAAATGTATACTTGCCATATCTTATGATTAAAATTCGATGGAGACAAACCCACTAATTCTGGCCCATCTTTGTTTCTTTCTTCCTTGGGTTCTCTAGTACTACTTACTCCCCTATTTTATTAGCTCGTTGTAATTGCTCAGGTAATTGCTCGTCATTCAAGTGACTATTTGTCCTTTTTCATTACTAGATCTGTACCTTCTTTTAACTTCATTTAACTTTTAGTGTATTTATAAACCCTTCTGTTAGTTTTTGATACAGCTGTGTTGGTCCCTTGCCTTATTGCCAGTCTTTCCTCCTCAGAATCTGTCTACTGCTGTGTGTGTAATACATTTTCTTTAAAAGTAATTACCAAGTTTCTTGGGGTTCCTTTTCTTTAAACTTTGATCCCTGTGAGTTTCTGCTTACCATTTCCGTAAATCTGTTCAAGCCTTTTTTTGTTGTCTGTTGTTCAGCTGATTTCACTTTTACCCAAATTACATTCCACTTTCAGGTTCTCAGTTTTTCATCCAAATTAGCCAGAAAAAAAAAAAAGAAATTTAAAACAGTTAATTTCCTTTTTCACTCTACCATGTAAAACATAAATTTCTTGTTCCTGACACATTCTAAGATCTGTTTGAATAGATAATTCTATCTCAGCCAGTTGGTTTCCAAATGAATAGCTGGATAAAGTTGGTTGTTTTTTTTTTAATATTACCAAATGCTTTGATAATTGTTTGCAGAATATACTACTACCACTGTCTTCTGATTGATGCAGATTCTCACCTAAGACTCTGTTCTTCTTACCTTTGACCAGAAATATTCCACAAATAATCTTCACTATACAGTGCAATATCTCTTCTTTTTCCTGCTTACTTTTTGTTTGGTTTTGGGAGGCAAGGAGGTAGAGGGGAATACCTCTAGTCTATATCTAGTCCTCTGATTTATCCCACCATCTGTAAAATGATAATTATATCAGTTTTGTTTGTATTTCTTTTCTTTTGGACCATTCGATGTATCCAAGCAGGTAACATGAAGTATAGTAGCTGATCTGGGCTGTGTTTGGAAATTTTTTTTTTTTTTAATATAGTCTTTAGTCTTGGTGGGGGATGTTGAGAGAGGCTTATCTGATTTTTATTAAAAATTCTGATTAAACCTTTTTGATCTGATGTGCAGAGGTAACTGGGAAAATGTGATGTATAAATATGATCTCTATTGGTCTGCTTTCACGTTGAAGGCAAAAAAGAGAAAACTTCCTCTTCGCATACATACCCAAATCCACACGTACCAAATTCTCATTTTCCTAACCTAGAAAGACAATACAGAGGTTGCAGTTGCACTTACTGGTTATTTTGGGAAACATTCTAGGTTATTATTCTTCTAGTAATTAAATTGAGATGGACTCTTATTTGTTCGGACTACTATTTTGAAAGCCTCCCCTTATCTACTGTTTTGCTGAAGAGTTTTGGAATTGTTGGGGGGAAAAAAGCCCATCATCTTCAAGCTTTTCCAGTAAGCAAGGGTGAAAATATGAATATAGTTCACTGAGATTATTGTCTTAGCTGACTCCGATGACCAGATACCAAGAGATCGCAAGGAAGAACTACGTATAGGCATTTCTATACTAGAGACTGCCTGGGGGGGGACCACACATGGAAATTTTGTGGATTTAGTTAACATTTCTCCAGAAGTTTTAATTCAGAAATGATCTAGTTATTCAGAAGATGTCACAGATCATATTTGTCCTGCAAACTGATGCAGTGCTGGAATTTAACGCTTTGAAGCAAACTGAGTGTTTGCCTTGGAATTAGTTGTTGTTTCACTTCAAAGTATTTGTTCTGCCTTCCTATATGGAAGAGAATAATCCAGCGGTATAAGATTTTTTTTTTTCTTTTAATAAAAAGAAGCTCAACTGATGTTGGCATCTTTTGTTATGTGAACGTGGAACAGACTCTTTCAATAAAATGTCCTTGTTGCCATTCTGTGTTTGAAAGATCTCTGAATAAATCAGCCTTAGGAAATTTCTAAATAAATATTGTAACTTGAGACTATTTCACCGTTTTTATCCTTTTTTTTTTCCTCATGAGTCTAAATTTGTTACTTTGGGAGAAATGGTTTGTTTTAAGAATGTAGAATAATATTGTCAATAGGTTGTAATTTTCTGTCATTAAATGGATTAAAAAAAAAAATCTTTGCAATAGCCTTGTATTTGTCTTGCAGAAAATTAAACCCTCTTTTTCTTTGAAAAATGAAAATTTTTAGTAGTCTCTTGCACTTTCAGCGATACTGGCTTTTTAAGCCCATTCTGTGCAATCATTTGGTAGGGTTTTTCATAGGATGTTTTGCTGTTCCCAAATAAGACTGAAAGATTTTTGAATGTTCTAGAGTTTTACTTGGCTTAAAAGCAGTCGAAATACAGAATTTACTGTGCTCTGTCAAAACAGTCACCTGTCAAACTTCTTATCCCCCTTGCAAGTCACAAGTGCTCTAGAGTTAATCAATTTTTCCTTGCAAGCATGAAATTTTACTTGTTATAACTGTGAATGATAATAGTGGATTAGCTGTTTTATAAATCTGTATATAATATTTAGTATTTTGTTTGTCTTGGTAGGCCTCAACAAATAACGAAAGTTCAAATCACAGTTTTGGAAGCTTGGGATCTTTAAGTGATAAAGAATCAGAGGTAAGTATACGGGGCAGATTCATTATTACCTCAAAAATTTGATGCTAACAAGTCATAATTTTATATTGTACTTTGATGCCTTATTTTATATAGAAGCTTTTAAAGTAAAATGCAAAATACACAGCTAGATAAGAAAAAGCATACGTTACTAAAAGGTACCATCTCTTGGAGGAGGAGACATGACTTCATAAAAGTTTCTTTGGATTTTTGGTCATGAAACTAGCTGCTTCTGCTTCTTTATTATTTATGTAGTCATGCTGTCAGGATACATACAGCTTTTGGAGCTGAAAATGCTTAAACAGTTTGCTGCCTTTTTTTTAGTAAGTTTTTCATCAGCACAGATAAACTTTGACTAGTCTTTGGCTGCATCTTTGAAAATAGGCTAGAAACTAGTTTGTTATGTTTTCTTTAAAAATACGGATTTACTCCAAGGTCAGACAGTAGCTATCATCTGCATTTGTAAAAGCTGCAGTTGTCAGTATGTATTTTCTTACCTAGTACCACTTCATAATCCAAAAAAGGATTCATACTCTTACTCGGTTGTAATGGGCAGAGTGCAGACTTCCCTGGAGTAGAAGATTTTCCTGTTAGTGACCAACATTGACATCGTTGCACTAATGCAGCTCTTACAATTTACCTATTTTCGGGTCGGTGAGTCCCTCTGACAGTTTTGCCTGTGTTCATCACAGATTGCATTGATAAGATTATACCCATTGTAAGCAAGAGCGTATTTCTAGCCCAGGCTGGACCTGTGTTTGAGTATGTGTCATGCCGGAGGGAGAGCTGTTTGGAATGTGCTTTTGATGTTATTTTCACATGTTAAAGCTTTATTTTGGGGCCTAATTGTTCATTCACTCAGTCACTACGAGACACTGACGTTTGCTGTTACACTGGGCTGACCAGCAAGTGAATTTAGTTGGTTCCCAAGACCAATACCTTATAAATAAATGTTCTCTGTGTGTGATTTCATGTTTTCCTCTTTGAAAAAGGCTCTGCAATGATTTTTTCCCCTTGCCTTTCCCAGCTGGGTTTTCCTTTTAATTGTATATAGGCTATTTTCTTAACCAGAAGAGTCTGTCTGCCTGTTGGTTTTCTTCATGGCTTTTCCTAGAAATACTTTGGGCAGTGTTGCAGTGATGCAGTTCTGATGTAGGTGTGGGAATGGAAATGTGTCACAGTAGCCTGAAGGTTATGATGCATTATTGCAATTCCTTGACAGAAAAACGTGTCTGTGAGTAGTCGAGTGATCTCAGAACGCTGACTATACGTGTAATAACTTTCTTGGTGTAGAAGAATGATATTTTACATTTGAATACATGAGATACAGAGGCAAGGTTTTTCCAAGGCATGAGAGTTTGAAAGTTCAATCCGCATCTTCAGTCTGCACAGTGTTTTAACCTTAAGCCATGCTTCTGGGTAGGAATAATTTATTATTTAAAAAAAAAAATTCTAAAACTTGGATTCTAAAATAAAAATAGATCCCCGCCCCCACCCCCCTTCCCCCCCCAAAAGACCTTGCACAGATCTCCAGTGCACAGTGCTCCAGGTTTCTTCTGTGTTTTCTGAAAGATAAGTCTTAATGACATTGAATAACGAAATATGATTTCTTGACCCATTTTCAGAAGTTGTCAGTTGTATTCACTTAAATTAAATTATAATTGTAATACCAAATAAGTTGTTAAGTTTTTAGAGTTTTGTTCTTAAAATAACATCTGGTTCCATATATGCTGTAATCCTATAAAAAGTACACTGTAGTTCTTAATATTGCAATAGTTGTGGGATTTTTTGTGTGGTGTGTTTTTTGTTTTTTTGTTTTTTTAATGGTGTGACAATGAAGGTTTCATAATAATAGGGAGTTCCTCTTGTGGATGGTAGTGTAGAAGTACAGAGATTTACTCATATGGGAAGCAGTGCCATCATTTGATGTTGAGAGAGAACTGTTGTATTACAATAGATTTTGGGAGGAAAAAAAAGTACAAATGCAAATCTCAGAATCATTGAAATTAATTTCTAGCAAGAATGACAGTTTCTAATCAAATTGTGATGGTACATTCATGTCATCATTCTGTGCTTTCATCACTAAATGGCGCATTAGAAGAAAGAAAGTCTTTCACACTTAGCTTTCAAAACAAGGCGGGCTTCCCACACACACACACACTCCTTTTTGTTTTTCTGGTGTGAATTTTTTCCTTTTTACTTTTTGCACACGGGATTGCAGAAGATACAACTATTAGAACTGTAGTCTTTTTTTTTTCTGTCTGATGGATGTGTGAAGAAAGGCAACTTACCTGAATAACAGTTTTGAGATACTTCAGAGGTAAACTTTGATCTGCAAAATAACTTGAAATCAGGCTTTATTCTGGATTCAGTTCAGCATTGTGAGCGATAAACATTAGCTGGATGTTTGATCTTAATATCCAGACCTGTATTCCAGTTTCTTTCTAAATGTAAACATTATTTTTATTTTATTAAATGCTTTGTTGCTGTGGTACATAGATCTTAATTTGAGTGTGTATTAGCTACTTGTAGTTAAGATAAATCCTAAATTGGCTACCTCAGGTCGTGAACAAGTGCTTTTGGTAGTCTTCCAGTATTTTGGCCTTCCCCACCATTCCTCATTGAAGTAGATTACTCCTCCTTGTTTTGGTTACAAATACATTTTTTTATTTATAGCTAGTATTTTCTATTCTCTGTAGATAATTATTTAAAGGAGGACAGCTTTGTCTGTGGCTTGATTTGTCCATTTTGATTAGTTATTTAAATGTTTTGCTCTGCTTGCTTGTAGCTGTTAGTTGCTGTGGTTCCCAATAATACAGAACCCTCATTATAAATGTAATTTCAGAAGTAACTAAACGTTTGATCTAATTGGAATTTATAATGTGTTGCAGAGGAAAACAGCCCTGCTGTATTTGTTTGCTGTAGTTGTAAAGCTTTGAAGGGAGAGTAGGATTTAGAAGAAATAATTGTGGAAAACTATCAACTCATTCATTCTGCATATGAAAAATATTAACAACTAAAAAAATCATAACTATTAAGCATAATGGAGATTTAAGTGTTGAGAGACCAAAAAAATAAAAACTTTGATATTATTACACGACTTTAATTTTTTTTTCTCTACAAAAATAACTTCCTGAGTTATGCTGTTACCAGTTCTACAATAATGGTAGAAAATATTTAACCGTACATAAAATACATAAAAATACTTATCTGAGTGTTTTTTTTAAGTGAGATTAACTGGTTGAGAATTAGTACTTGGAAATGTTTGTTTTATGAAAGAGGATGTGAAAGGCCAAAATTTAAAACTGTAAGTGTGAAGAGAAGACTCAGGGGAAGCACATTAAGATTGAGGGGTAAACTAGGATCAAGACCGTGATGTATGAGGCTGTGCTAATATGCCAAGCTGTGGCTAACTTTAACACAGCTTTACAATCTAACTTTGGATAACTTCAAAACTACTTTGTCTTGCTTATGAAATAGTGGGATTTTAATCTAAATCTTGGCTGTATGTAAATCCTTCTGAAGGGACTGAAAATAGCTTCAGTCTTTGTTTATCAGGGGGATACTCTTCAGCCCCATTAGTCTTCAGTTTCTTGTAATTCGTATGGTTCCATTCATTAGAAAGGATTTTGGAGAACATTTTCTAGTGATTGATGTACGCTGTACACTGCCATGTGAATATTGTACTTAGAAAAGGTGAACATGACCTTGTTGGGTAACCTCATTAATAACCTCATTAGTGTGCTAATACTTTTTCATTTGGAAGGTTAAATTAAACACTGAAAGAAATCAGAAGAGCTTAAGGAAGTAGACATTTATGAATTATTTGAGTTTCAGTTTTAAAACTATAAACCTCTTTAAGTCTCTGTTTTTTAAATACAAGACCAGTCACTGCAGTTGGAAACTAATTTTGGTGGTGGAAATCTTAAATGTTTAGTCATTAATTAGCTTTTAAACAACTTTTTTTTTGCTTGATATAGTAGGTAAAACTGACTACATTAGAATGATAACTGCAAAATTGAAAGCTGGAAAATAAGAATAACATGAAAATGCTTGGTTAAATAGTTTCAATTTAGTTTTGTGGAAAGATAGCTTAATGTTACCTATTTACCTGGCAGTAATTGCGAATTATGAAAGTAATATTTCTAAGCTATGCTTTCTACTTTTAGAATCATATAGTCTTAAGATAAGTTCATTTCCAGGAGTCTGTGTTGTACGGTTTGCCAATGTACGATAGCACTGTAAAAGATGCAGATTTTGGCTGGAAGAGTTTATTTAAAATAAAATGTATGTAGTTATAACTTCATTTGTAGCCTGATAATACAATGGTTACAATTGTAAAACTTCCAAAGGTGTTTTTAGGAAGCTACCCACAGAGCTAAAACTTCTGAAAAATACATGGTATAGATAAGGAAGACCTTTCTTGCCCTGACTGTTCTTTTATAGACTGATAATTTTCTACAGATCACAGGTAACTTAAACTTGCCAAAATAAATATTTTAGGATGTAAAATTAGTAAATTTATATTTGAAGATATCCACGTGAAGATTTTGGAACTGAAACATACTTGAAATGCTTTTAGTGATGAGTTGAAAGTTGAATTTTGATATCATTTGCTGTATTGAGAAAGAATACTTTGAGCACAGTGACAAATACAGTGAAATGATAAAATGATGGTATTGTAAAAAAAATTAAGCATCTTATCACTGATCTCAAATTTAGTCCGAGATGTTAGGGACCATTGATTTCTTCATTGTAAAACAGAGTTCATGTAATGGCTTCTGTGCTTTCTCCAGTCACTGGTATGAGGCTGCTTGGAGGCTGAATACACACACAGCTGCAGTATCTTTTCCTTGAATCACAGCAACTTGTAGAATTTAACTTACACTGGGGAGACTAGCTGGTTTGAATTCTCAGATCAAGGGAGAGTAAATATAATTTAGAGATGCTTCTGGTCACAGCCCTTTCTTGTTATCTGTGTCGTACATTCTGATTGTAGTTTCTAGGAAACTATATATAATATTTTTTGAATAAATTTTTAACAGATCTTTATTTTTTCACTTATCATTGATGTTTTTCTTTGACTTTCTTGAGATACAAATATCATGGGGAGGGGACGATGACACTTTCCAAGTGGGTAGATACTCAAATTTTGAGCAATTGCTCTCTTTTTTAAGTCCTAAGCAGATTCTAGAAATCTATGGTTTATATTAGTTTGGAGATGACATCTGCACTTCCGAAAATGAGTAACATTATTGGCTTCCTGTTGAAGCACTAGAACTTTGTGTTTATACTGTGGCAATGTGTAGAAAACACCATCAAGAATCAGCTTATTTCATTAAGTATTAAGCTTTAAAACGCCCACAACTGTAATCTGAAGATCTTGGTAAAGTGAAACCAAATTGAGTGTTCATAAATCCCAGAATGGATGAAAAGGTATAATTGCTTAACAATTAATATGTAGAATTGCCTTTTGGGAAATTATTTAAGAATTATTTCTCACTTTCTTAAATATCTTTTCTAGCTTGTATTTATCTGATTGACCAAGGATCACATTATCTACTTGAACTAAGATCTGAAATTACATCCCTGCTGAATTGTGAAATCATGTTTTATGAATGAGGATTTAAATTTATTTCACAATAATATAGCAATAATATAAATAAATAGAGCTGCTGTTGGATCGTGTTCTTTTTGTTGTTTGTAGACTCCAGAGAAGAAACAGTCAGAACCTTCCAGAGGAAGAAAAAGAAAAGCAGACACTCAGAGTGAAAGCAGCCAAGGTAAACTAAAATGTAAATGAATTAGATAGTTATTGCATGTATTTAATCAAATTATAGCGCACAAAGTTTTGACTGTTGGCCTTACAAATTCTGTATTTTTGCTTGCATAAGACAGGTGTTGGGTTTTGGATGATAAATTACGTATCCTCTTCCCCCTCATTTGTCACTGGAAGGGACGGGCAAGTAAAACCTGAACTGGGCTGGTAATTGCCCATAAGAATTGTGTGTTGCTGCATGTGTAACTTGCAGCTATGGTACAACTCTGTGTACTTTTTAAGACTTGTAGCAGCTCTTCTTATCCAAAATACCTTTGTGGTTTATATTTCTTTTCAGTAGGTAAGGGGGAAAAGGGATTACAGATTACAGTATCTGATTGCTTGTTTTTCAGGTATATTTAAAATTTTAATTTTATTCTTCCTTTTCTATGGATTATTGTACAGTGTAGTTGTCTAGAGGGATGGGGAAATCGGGATGAGACTGATTTCCAATTTAATATTTACAAGCATAGTTTTTGTTGTTCCTCTCTTTAATGTGACTTTTGGGGGGAGGAATGGTGGAAATTTAACCTCAAGACAAAAATTCATCACAAGGGGGGAGGAAATTGTTTAGATAACGTCTGTATTAGCTTTTTTTGGTTTCTAACTGAGCTAGGAAATGTCACTTCAGATATATATCAATGGGCTCCATATCTGGAATTTTTCATAATGCAACATGCTATTAGTAGAAGAATTATGTAGTTTGACTAAAATTAATTTCTTTGTAAGTGTTGCTTCATGGAGACCTGCTTTGTTCAAAGAATTTGAATGAAATTTCCTATTTCCTTTGTTCTAGTAGCCTATCCTTCCTGCTACCAGTGAGAGTTGAAATTAGAGATGATAGAAATTTTAGGAACTTTTTGGCATAGACAATATGATTATAATGTCTCATAATTACTATTTTACTGTCAGCAGCAGTGAAGCCGAATAGTCTGCACTGAAATATTCTCAAGGAACTGGCCTAGGAAACTGCAGCGAATTGGAGTGGTACAGTACAGTTGAAGCACAGCAAATACTGCTATTGTATTGAAAAAAGAAGCAAGAGATACATCTCTTGTATATTGCATATCTAGGATTTTGACTTTGTAATATGCAAAATAATCCATAAATGTTGAAGAAAAGTATTGTTTAGAACATGGCAGTAATTGGAAAGTGGGTTAAAATCAGTGTAAATCTATTCATAACTGGCTGTGCCAAAATAATGTGATGTATTTCTTCAGTGCAGAGTTCTGTAACATGACATAGAGTAGATTTTTCTATACTGAAAAGGAATGCAGTCTATTTCATTTATCTGGATGAAAGCAAATTTTAATTTGATAAAGCAATATATGAGAATTAAGCATGAAGACAGAAATCGCTAGCAGAATTACAGGTAGGTAAAGAACTGGCTAGAGGGCAGTAGCAGTGATATGTACACTAACTGAGTAACTACTGGAGGAGTTAGCTGTGTGCTGTTCTAGGTCTTTAAAGTATTTTATCTAAATATTTCTGTTAAAAGTCTTGACACAAAAAGGGCTGCCAGCTGTTTCTGTTTCTTCGTGGTAATTCTTAGTGACACAAAGTTATGCAGCGGTGCCAATACAGAGGCATATTGGACTAGAAAGAATTCTTCAGGGCTGAAGCAATAGAAAAGCTTGAAAATCTTTGCTAAAAAGTCCAAAATTACATTTTTGGACCTATGGGTAATGATCTCCCAATTTATCACAAAAATTTCTTTCTATAAAGAAAAAAGCTTTGAACAACGGTCCATTTTCAAGATGTCTCCTAACAGGTAGTCTGACCTGTACAAAAGACAAATACAGTCTTAAGATTTGCCAGTCATCTTAGGGCCGAATAGAAGAACGCATTTATGCCATTGGGTAAGGCATTGGTGCGATCTCTAGAATGCCATGTATGGGTCATGTCCTCATGTGGAAGAAGGATTAATTCACATTGGTGCTTCTGAAGTCTCAATACTGATTAAGATAAAAGAAATTCTACTCTCTCATTTTGCTCTATTTATCTCCCTAGTTAACCCTGTGAGTTAGCTGATTCATAATCAGATTGGGAGAAATGGAAATACTTGTCATCCTCCATGCCCACCCTGTTATTGGCACTTACAGAAATCCTTGGGCTGTACGTTTGGGCACAATAACTCACCTGGAGCATATAATGTTAATAGACTTGGTTAATTTGATATTTTGGAAGTGGGTGAACTTTGAGATAGTGCTTGAAAAGGGGAGGGACTTAGCACTAAAGGTTTGATCTGCAGGATGAGAGATGAGTTTCCTGTTATCTAGAAGAGGTCTAGGCTTGCCGCTAAGTCTGCACTAATCTGGTTTAGGAACTGAAGTGTGACTTAATTTCTGATTTCTCAATGAATTGAATATGCAAATCTCTTTGTTGTGGCCAGTCCCTTAATTATCTACAGAGGGAGATCACATATTAGCACATCAAAGAAAACCAATTAACAAGTGGTAAGACTTTGCTATAATTACTGGATAGGTAAAAATGTAATTTTTATTTAATCAATTCTAATGTATTAATGTATTTGTTTCAGGAAAGAATATTGGGGGACGTGGTCACAAGATTAGTGACTATTTTGAGGTAAGGTTTTTGTGTGTTTGTAAAATTTACTTTAGCTTTAAAATATACTTTTAGGTTTTTTTAGATGTTACCAAATTTTTGCTTGTAATGGATAGGCCTCTTGAGAGGATACTTTTTTTTTCTTTATGTAAGTTTATGACTATTAAACCTTGAAATTGAGATGCAGTGGTCTCTTGGTGCAGCCCGAGCTAAAACACAAAAATCATTTTCTTTCACGCTTTTCTTTAAATGGCCAAAGGCTACACTAATACAAGTAATACAGTGTAATTTATAAATTCTGTGTACAGGTGAGCTGTATCATTCAGTAGATGTATAATGTATTTTGATAAGAAGATTGACTAATTGGAGGGCCGTATCTTCTCTACAGTACCAAGGTGGAAACGGCTCTAGTCCAGTGCGAGGCGTACCTCCTGCAATCCGATCTCCTCAGAATTCACATTCCGCTCCTTCTTCTGTAAGTTTGTGAACTTCGTAACTGCTGGAGATACTTTCATAGTCTAAAAGTAGCGTAACTGGAAAGAATCTATATTCAAGGGAAGAGTTTTTAAAGGAGGGAGTCCTGGGAAGGAATTCATTCTTTCAAGAGCAAAAAAAGAAAAAGGATCAAGTTAAATATTAAAACTAAAATTTTTAGTTAATACTGGGACTTTTTTTCTAAAACATAATTTTTAAGTACAAAGTAATTATGTAAAATGTTGAATAAATGTTAAAATGTTCTAATGACATCTATTCACAAGCCTCACACAAAAAAGGGGAGGATTTTTGTTACTTATGAGGAAACTGAACCCCTGACTCGGGACTTTAAAGCTCAGTGTTTGATAAATCCTAAGTTTTTAAATAATTGACCCCTAATTTGCCTGTATCCTTTTAAAATTCGCTTCGTTGGTCATGCTAATTAATTTTTTCCCTCCTCATATGCACGATTTCAGTGTTAAGCATACCCACATGTGATTCTAAATGGACAAGCAGATTCTGCCAGTTACAGAAAGGATTTGTTTTCTCTGCTGGTAGACCTCAGCTTTTATTTCATGTACTTTCAACTTCAGGCATCCTCTTATTCTTGCTAACAGTGTGGAGTGTAATACAGATTGTGGAATTTGGCTTGAAAACGGTCTCATTCGCACAAACTAGTGGGTTTTGGGAAGTTTCAATAATGGGATTTGTGTTCTGATCTGCACTAGTCTCCCTTTTCTGGTTCTCCCATGGGAAATAACCACTCCAAAAATAACTCACATTACTGTATTTTTGAGTTGTGAAAGCTTAGAATCAGAAACATAAGACTGCGTAAGACTGATATCACCTTATGTCAGTCTTGTATTGTCTTAAATCTTTCAGTCTGTTTCCCAAAAGTTACAATCTTAGTTTTCTCAGGGAATATATTGCATCCTTTCTGAACTGCAAGTGATATATAACAGCATAGTGATAGCTCTCAATGCAGTGCTCCAAGTAGTATCTTCTGTAATAAAGATACCTTATTTCTCTATTCTCTATGATTTTCCTGCCAAGACTTGTAAACAAGGCTATGTTCATAACTGAATGTTACAGTCATATCTAAAATCCTTTGTTTTCATGCATTCCAGGTTCGACAGAATAGTCCTTCTCCTACTTCATTAGCTTTCGGGGACCACCCTATCACGCAACCAAAGCAGTTATCTTTTAAAATTACTCAGGTAACTATTTTTGAGTAGAGCTATCCTATGTCATTTCAGACTGTAGGAAAAACATAAATATATTTATTTCTTTGTCTTTCAACTTATAAATTCTTAAAGGCTTTCAAAAGCTTTGCTTTTTACAATCCGCCAAAGCATTTTTCTTTTAAGTTCAGCAGCTCATAATTTAAATCTCTCTGATTAGTTTTGTATTCTGCACTTGCCCTGCTTCCAACGTTGCACTTCATGAGTAGTTAGATGACCACGTCGTTGGTAGGCTTTTGCTCAAGATTTTAGCTGTTGTGTGATCTTAGAAGTAGAGGCTGCTCTTTCAGGCAGTATTTGAAGTGACAGCTGCTCTTGTCATACTGCATTTAAAATATGACACTGAAGAAGAAAATTGAGATGGTAATCAAAATGATCAAGATACGGTTCTATCATGACTTTTAAAAGCCGAAAGCAACTGTTTTATCCTCTCTGCCATTTCTGACATGATCTGTTCTCTTTCACAATTTAGTCAGGACAAGGCTACTTCACCTGTTGACCAATACAGAGAATTTAAAATAATTAACTGACGTTTACATTCTTGCTCTGTTTTATATGCTTTTTTGTGAACAATAACTTTTCAATTAGTGATGAAATCTTTTAACACTGTTAGTGGTTTGTCCCAACTGTTCACAGTCGTCCTCATGAAGAGGGAAAGCAGTTTTGGATAAAAACCTTCCCTGTCACTTTCGAAACACATGAAAATAAGATGTGCTGGTCTTGTTGAATGTTTTAAAGTAGTTTGTTTCTCTACATAACAAACATGAGAAAAACAATGCTGTAATTGTTAAAGGAAAGGATAAATATTTCAAAATGTTCTTTTTAGACTGATCTCACAATGCTGAAATTAGCTGCACTAGAAAGTAATAAAAATCAAGACTTGGAAAAGAAAGAAGGTCGTATAGATGACTTACTCAGGGTAAGTGTTAGACATGGGGTAAAGATGTTTATTCAGAACAACAGGCAGTGGATCTGAGGCAAATATTTTAAATGTTTGAATAATCCTTATTTTTAAAAATTACCCTGGAGTTACCTAAATTAAAAGGTGAAACAAGTTTTTAATTTTTGTAAACGTTTTTCTGAAAATCCAAGAAGTCTGTAGAATGAAATGCATAGGGTTTTTTTCTGCTTCTGTGCTATGACTTGTTAATGATTAAATATGTTCATAGACTTTCTGAAGGTACAAAGAAAGCTGCTGCTGTTTTGCAGGCAGCTGATTAATTCCTTAAATTCATAATATAATTTCACCTAACAGGTGTTTTTTTGTTGTTCTAATTGTGAATAGCAGTTATCAGTGGGACAACTGTTGGCAGTTTCAGAATGGAGGTGATTGTGACAGAAATTATGACAGGCAATAAATAACTACTTCTAATAAGAAACCTATGCTATACTATGCTCTAAGACCTGTTTTCAGAAAAAAATCTTAATGCTTGTGCTCTTGAAAGAAGTGTTGTAAAGGTGGTATGTAGAAATACGAAATATGAAACAAAAACCCCTGTGTTCACAAGTTGTATTCAGTTTAGAGTTTATATGTGGACAAGTACATATTAACCCGTGCAATCATACATTGTAAAATTGTAGACTGTTTTAGCACATGTTCAACAGTATGGGATAGACAAACCTAACCTTTAAAAAAAAAAAAAATCGTTTCTTTTTAAACAAAAAAAAATGCTGTGTTTTTTTTAAGGTAATAAGTTAAATATAATTGGAATGTAGGGAACTTGTTAAACTTTCTAGTCAGATAATTGAAACTTTTATCATTGTGAATTTTTTGTTTCCTTTTAAATTAAGTTAGAATTTCACATGACTTCAGCAATCAGATATAAAGGATCTGGAGCTAAAATTAAACTTTCAGTTTAACTCTAGAGAACTGGAAAAGTGATCGGTACAATGTTTTTATATATTATTTATATGCTGAATGCTCTGTAATACAGAATGCAGCTGAGTGTAAGGGGAATAAAAAAGGAAGCAAGACGTCCTTCTACAGATTAGGATAGATCTGTGAAATGAGATTTTTGCCTACGTATATATATGTTTATGCATGTTCCTTATTTTAGTCATGTGAAGGTAGATACCTTTATTTTCCATGACAGCTGATTAAAAAAACAGTGTTTCAATATAGCTTTTCATATTTTGTATATATTTGTTAGGCTAACTGTGATCTTAGAAGACAAATAGACGAACAACAAAAGCTACTTGAAAAATATAAAGAAAGGTTAAACAAATGTATTTCAATGAGCAAGAAGCTTCTAATTGAAAAGGTAAGTTTACTGCTTTTAAAATGTTTGTGATAAAAACTGAGGGTGCTGTAGAACTCCATTATGATTCCTTCATTTTCACTTGAATGTTTTCACTTTAGTCTCATGAGATTGAAACTTCATATGCATGGTCTCTATCTGGCAGTAAGTGTTTTTATAAGCCTGAATAGGCTAAATAAAATGTTGAACCTTTTTCAGATCATGGAAAATGTGTTTTTTTTAATTTAAGTTTTTTTTTCCCATCATGAGTAATTCAGATATAGCAAAGCATAAAAAGCGTAAGAATTTAGGATGTGGCCAATTTTCTGGACAAACTTTAAGAATAAGATTGCAGTGGATCAAAAAATTTCTGAACATAATCTGTTGTGGAGAGGAGATGGATAAAATCTCTTTGTGAGACACTTATGTGGCTGAAAAATTTTTTGATCTAAAATGAGAAAATGCTATGTTAGCTCAGAATTAATGGAAACAAGGAAATGAAGGTGACCATTTACCTTCATACTACTATGAAAGAAATACTTATTTCAAATTTAATGCCAATTATATTTAAACTAGCAGCAATTTCTTAAAATACAAGGATACCTTGTTTCTCTCCCTCTTCCTTAAAATAGCCTTATTTAAAAAAAAAAAAAAAATTCTAACAAAAAGTGAATAGAAAACCAGCTTATTACAAATTAGGATACAAAAAAATTTAAGGTAAACAGCCAAGTCTGTTACCTGACACTGGCTGCTAGATGCTGCTGTCAGATACAAGGGCACAAACTGATCCGTTAGAGGATTAGAGAGAGCTTCCTCGCTGGCATGCCATAAAAAAATTATTGCAGTTCTTTTGAAGTTCCAGCATAAGGGGAATGCAGGGAAAAGATGCATCAGATCTGTTCAGCATGATGCTAGGTGGGCACCTTCAGGCTGAGAATATCACATAGGTCATTTTTTGTGAAAGGCCATGCAGGTCTCCTCTTCAGTCTGGAAGTCTGCACAGAGATCCTAATTCTGTCAACTTCTCCCTTTTTTTTTTGTGTGTGTGTGTGATTTTGGGCCATAGGCATTTCTTAAGAAGCAAGCATTTGTAACAGTTAAAGAAGTTTCTGTCTGTCCATCAGCGGTGTTCACAGTGCTCTTTCTTCTTGTGCTGAAGCAGACTAGGCAGACTCAGTCATTTATCACATCCCAAGGATGCTTGTGGTATTAGTGACTGGTTCTGAGAAGGGCATCTGTTTCTTTTACTGTGAGTGAATATCTGATTGCAGTTAAGTCTACCTGCAGTGCATTCCCACGTAGAGATTCCTGAGCTCAGTCAGTTTCGTACAAGTAGTAACATAGATGCTCTTTCCAGGCTAGGTATAGTAGGTGCACACTTTCTGATATCTAAGCAGGCTCATTTAGTATAATAGACATGTACAGACATAGTCTTAATTATATGCCTGTATGATGCTGTTACTCCATCAGTTTTGCTGTATTTACAAGTAAAATGTTTTGTTAATTATGAAGAACAGTGAACTTTATAGGAAAACCGAGTCAAACTCAGATTTTTTGGTTTTTTTGTGCACAAATCGTCATTACTACCAGTTCTGACAACTGCAGGTGTTTGGGTTCTACAGAAATTAGAATAAATGGAGTAAAGTAATAAAAGATATTTTCATCTACTCTCCCTTTATCTCTCCCTTAGAAAGTTGTTGGAGGAAAAAAACCTAAGTGTTTTACTGACTTTTTGAACACTTTGGTATTACTAAATATGAATTTTTTTTTGTTTTCTTAGAGCACACAAGAAAAGCTGGCAAGCAGAGAGAAGAGCATGCAAGACAGATTACGCCTGGGGCATTTTACAACAGTTCGTCATGGTGCTTCATTTACTGAACAGTGGACAGATGGCTTTGCATTTCAAAATCTTGTGAAGTTAGTCAATGCTATGTTCTTAAAATTCTCACTAATTGTTAGTTCCCTCTAGTGGATTTTTTTATTACTAAGGTTCTAGGATTGGAGCGGCTTTTCATACGTTGTATTTTGCTTTGCCTTTTGAAGACTGAGAATACAGTACAGAACTCCCTTAATCAACTGAGAGAATACTAACGCTGGGTGTCTTTGAAAGAGAGTTTGGTTTCACTTCATTTTAAGTATCCTTAGAAAAGCATGAACACACTAAATGAGCAGCATGTAATTATTCAGCTCAGCTTGTAGAAAGAGCTATAAAACTAAATCAGTGCTTTTTCAAGCAGCTAACCATGTATCACTGGTGATCATTGGGGTTTGTGAACTTCTCACATAGGTGCTGCCTGTGCACCCATCACTGTAGCAGCTTTTTCAGGCATTCAGCCCCTCAGTGCCCTGAATGAGTAGTGACAAATCTGGCACCCTCAGGTAGGGTCTAGTGCAAGTGGATGGGGGAAAGCAGTTGCCTGGAAAAGAGCTGCCACAGCAGGTATTTCAGCAGAGATGGGGCCAAGGAAAAGGGCTCTGGGAGACCATCAGAGATGGTGGTAAAACAATTGTGCAATGCCTGAAAAGGTGTTCTTTGGTAACGAGTCTGATTCAATCTTTGGAGATAGATATATAGATATAGATATAAAAGTAGTTCACCAAGATTTTAGTTTTCAAAGGGCAATATGTAGTCTCAGCATTATGTGATTGCCTAGAACATCGGTTTTTTAAGACAATCTTAAAAACAACCTGTATATGTGTTTTGCATAAAAGCTGTAATTGTTTGCCATACAACCAAACTGATGATTTATTTGGGAATGGTCAGATCAAATTCAGTATTTGGCCTATAAAAATCAAGTGCTCTCTATTGACTCTGTTACATTTCTTTTGGTGATACAAAAGAAGGTATCCATTTTTTTCTTTTTCTAGTGCAGAAATCATGTGTAACACTTTCAAAACCAAAACAAAACAACCTCAAAACAAAAAAAACACACCACGTATTTCAAAAGTAAATTGTGCTAAAACTTTAGCAAAATTTTTCCACCTCATGAAGAACATTGGTGTTCTTTTTCCTAGGAAACATTTTCACATGTACAGTAAGTTTTCTAAAAATTTCTTAATGCTTTATTAGTTAAAAAGATAATTCTTTAAAAAATGCAAAATTATGAAACTTTAATAAAGCTTTTTCTGGGGTTTACAGGCAGCAAGAATGGGTGAATCAACAAAGGGAAGACATTGAAAGGCAAAGAAAGCTCCTGGCCAAGCGAAAGCCTCCAACTACAAATAATTCTCAGGCACCATCTGCCAATTCTGAACCCAAGCAGAGGAAAAATAAAGCTGTGAATGGGGCAGAAAACGATCCCTTTGTTAGACCCAATTTACCACAGCTGTAAGTTTAACATTTCAATCAGTCTTTTACATAAATTCTCAGATAATGTCTGTGTGAGTTCTATTCAAATAACAGCATAAAAAGACACTCAGTATATTCAGCAGCTATATTCTCACTGAGGACTTGCTGATGTTAGGGAAATTTGCACCACTGCCTATGAAGATGTCGTACAATTGTCCAATTTATTTTTGGTAAAGTCACCAGAGAAAGGCCAATTCTTTGTTTATGCAATGTTCCTTCTGTTTTCCTGATTTAGAGGAGTCCTTATTCTGGTTTCCTACTCTTGTAATGTCACTTATACCTATTGAACTTTTCTTGATCCACATTGGTTTAGGAGCCTCTCCTTTAGTTAGAGATCATTTCGTTTTTCATATAACAGTTTTTAACCGACAAGAAAAGCTTTTTTCAGCCTTTAGTATTTGAAGACATGTCTAAAAACAAACAGAAGGAAAAAAAATTTTTTTTTTCCCCTTCTGAATGCTAGATCCTGAGAGCAACTGTCAGAAGTTACTGACCCCATTTCACATATTGACAATGTTGAAATTTTTTGTCATTTGAACATAAAAATTGAGAGCTATCAAAGAATTCTTCATTTTTCAAGTGACATTTTTTCCTGCAGACAGAAATGGTATAATTCAAGGCACAGACAGATGTGTTCTTGACATTTCATTTGAGTATTTTAAAAAGTTGCTGCTTGGGGATACTAGTTATTGCCCTGTTGATACTAGTTATTGCCTAAGAGGCCAACAAATTAATCTGTGTTACTTTGCAGAAGTAGGCTACATGTGTTGAACATGGTCACCTGTCACCTCTCACTTGTGGAGGTAGTTAATTTATACCTCTGGGGGTGGAGGGTAAATAAATTACTCTGGTTAGATCTGTAAAATCTGTATGTTTGGACCATCAATTTGAAGACGGCTGCATATGTTTTACATAATGCATCATTCTTAAAGTTCATATTGTGAAATTATTTGGCTGTGACAAAAATACCATGAAAATACAATAGTAAGGCTGGTGATGTAAGCAAATCTTGATTAGTGTTACTCGTGTAGAGAGCTGAAGAGTCATCGCTCAAATTGATTTTAGTAATACTTATTGCCTACGTTTCTTCTTCTTTGAACATAATTTATACTTCTGAGTAGTACAGTAAAGATTACCGTCATGTTAAAAATACCTTTTTGTTTGAATGTAATGCCTCTTGTTATTAAAAGTAACATTTAAGTAATGGAAAAGACCTGAAAAATTACCGAATTTTTAATTTGCTAGCTTTTGGCCATGTCTTCATTCATGTTAAATTTCCATAATCTTATTGTTGCTTTAGGAGGTGATAAAATGTACGTTTGGGAAAAAATACAGAAGACATGTTCTAATTATTAAGTAGGACAAGGTCAATTCCTGATAATAGATTTCTGAATATTTTCTGGTGTTACGCAGTTTTAAATAATTTCCAAATGACTAAAGACTTCTCAAATTTTCATTTCATGTGGCTTAACCAGTTACATATTAAATGGCACATGAAAATGCTTGCTGGCTATGAAATTGCCAGGAGAACAACCAGAATTGCCCTTTTGTATCTAATGCTAGCATAAGTGTAAGCTGATTGAATCAAAACTGTTCTGACTTTAAGTATTCTAATTTGATCATTATATAATCTAGATATGAGATTGCTTGCTTATATGATAAGCTTATAAATTTTGTTTCAGTCCTTTGAGAAGGTCTGTAATATGTCCTGAGATCACAGAATCATTAAGACACATCATGCTCTTAGGCCTTTAGTTGAAAGGGTTTTTAAAATGTTTGTATTTAGGATTCATTATAATTTTGTAGCAATATTATGTGTTGACTCCTTTCTGCTTCTCAGTACAGAATTAAATATGTTTTGTGTATCTTGGTAAAACAATTATTAATTGTGCACTTCCATTTTAGAGTAAATTCGTCATCTGTTGTATGTGGTTCCCTCCTGTTACATTGTGCTTGTCACTGCTCCTGTGTTACTTCGAAAATAATGATCTTAATTAGTATAGCCAAATGGAAGAGGTTCTGTTTATACGAGGCATGGGGAAGTGCAGAGCTGCTTGAGATTAATGAACTAACCAGTAGTAAATCAGTACAACATGTATGCAAGTGATTAGGCAGATCTTTTTTTAAACAAACAAATAACTTGCTAGCAGTTGTTACCAACAAGTGTCTCTACCACTGCTTTGTTTGCTTTAGAAAATATCTCCAGCTGCAGGTATTGACAAGACAAAATGATCTATAGCTTTGTAACAAGCAGTATTATTGAAGCCCTTTCTGAAAACAGGTGTTGACTGTTTTGAAATGGATTGAAGGTGTTGCCTGGGGCATTCTTGATAAGGGCATTGTTCTAGTTTAGCTGAATATACTATGGTCTCTGATACAAATTTAAAAGCAAAATTTTTGCACTGCAGTTATTAGTATAAAAGTGGCCATCTGCCTGTGTCCTGAGAGTGAATGGTGGGTTTGGTGTTTAAGTAACATGCAACAGATGACTGTTGCAACAAACACTGTCCTGGTTTTCCATCATTCTTTCCCTTTTTGTGGCCCAAACCAAAACTAAAAAGTAGTTTCAATTTTGAGAGATCTCTTTTCTACTGAGCAAAGTTGTTTTATTAGTCTTATATGAAAGGAATAAATTGAAATTTATTTAAAGAAAAAAACATTTATTTGAAGTAGAGGTTGCCTTAGCCTTGGAAAAATCTGTTTGAAAACTCTATTCCAAATTCTTTGGAGACTTGAGAGATTATAATGCTAGTCCCCACTTCTTGGAAGCAGCTCTTATTTCACTAGACAATTATTTCTGGGAGCAACGTTTTATTTAGTGTAGGTGGTGTAGTCCTTCCTGTGCAGCTTTAGCCGTGTCAGTTGTACTCACTTCCCAGTCACCTCTTCCTCTGCTTCCCACTTCCTCCATGGGAGTCTGCATGCATCCTTGTCCCTGCATGCAGTTTGGAAGGGGAGAGCAGAGGGAGCTGGCAGAGTTTGTTACTGTAGCTGAACAAATGCATCATTTACAGGGAGCATTCTGTTCTGTATGGAACAAATAAAAATATTTTCAGAAACTTTTTCAGGCTGAAGTGCCAACAATGTGTCTAGGCTTTACAGGACAAGTAAAGACAGCTCCTTTCCTGAGGCAGTCTCTTTCTAAGGCAAACATGGAAACAATGGACAAAAAGACCTCATGGAAGGCTTTGACTTGGTCAGCGTCTGCCCATCCTTGTAGAAATTTGAGGAACTGGAGTGAGAATAAGGTTGGACCAAAAAAGAAGCGCTTCAGAAATTGTAGCCAAAAACTTGTATTGGATGTGTGTATGGCTGTTTGGGGACATGGCGCATTCTGCTGTGCCTGTTTATCCAGGATGATTTTTGAACTGGGAAAAGGTGGGAGGAAGGATGATTGTAAATGTGCCAGGCTTGATCTTCAAGACGACCAAGGAGCACGTGGCCATTTTGGTTTTTTGTTTTGTCTGTACCCGCTAGTAAGAGTGTTTTGATCATAGAAGAAGGTTTTGTCTGAACTTGTGAGGAAGAAGTGCAAAGAAGATTGGTTATGTCTACCCATGCATACTGTGTCAAAGTCTTTGAAATTTGGCTATGAAAACATTGTTAAATGACTAGAAGGCCTATTTTTGCTAATTTTAAAAAATGTTTAAATTGGTGATAATCAAGCCTTTCAGGCCAGGTAAGCTGTCCACTTTCCTCCAGTGACAAGTGAAGGTGGCACACCATGGCCCTACACATCACAGAAAAATTACACTACATGCGCAGAATATGTCCAGTGCTTTTTTGGGAATTTCAGGAATTCATTGCATGTGTATGTATGATTTGGCTGCAGGCAGTTAAAATACAGCATTTACTGCACAGTAATTTTGAGTGGAAAAGATCGTGGTCGGGACCAGACTGTTACCAGATTAATTCATGCAACCTCCCAGCTGCCCTTCTTCCCCAACGCTCCTCAGATTAGCCTCAAGCCTGACTATCCAACTTAAGTTTGTTTAGTGGATGGCAGCAGCCTGTTTCTGTCCGACATCCCTCCCCTGTGCTCCTCAACCTTTCTGTCTCTGCATCTGATGAGACCTGTGTGTCTCAGGTGAAGGAGGAGCAACCCCTTCTGCGGGAAATGGTGGTGTCTCATAGGTGACTTCTGTTTTCAGCCTGCCACTGCCCTGCAAAAGGTGGTGGGCGGGTAGATGCAGGTGGGGAGCGATGGGTTGATGGGAAGCAGTCTCTAGGCTGGATGTTTTCAGCCTGTGCAGCGGGGTGGTGGCCTATAGCCAGAAAACAGAGAGCATGCACACTGTCATTGTTTTACTGCTATTTGTTGTATGCTATTTTAATAGGAATATAAAGTACAATATATTTATAGATAAAAAGTAATAGACTCCTAAAAAAAAAAAAAGTAAATGTTTCTGAATATGAGGGAATAAAGTTTTGTTTTTCATAAGTAAATGAACAAAATCCAAAGTGACTATGTCTGTGTACAGTTCAGCATTTTATATGCCTTCCTCCAAAATGTGGTGGTCAGTAATGGCAGTTTCAAATCGCTGTGAACCATGCTGTGCCTCTAATAGAGTTAGATTTGTAAGGAAATAGAAAAATGGAAAACAGTCGATTATTGGGATATAGCATGGAAATATG